CTTCACCCGTCAAAGTACTTAAGTTTCATCTACTTAGTAAGTTAGTAATACTAATATATCTCGTCTATTACTTGATTACGTCTCTTACTTCTACAATTACATTCGCCATACCAAATAACGACAAAAAAGGCAAATTTTAAAATGAATTAATCAGTATTCCGGAGGAGTTTATAACACAACACGCTTAAAATAAACCCCCGTGCTACCCCCTCCCCCCCCCCCTTGTGCTACCCCTCCCCCCTCGTGCTACCCCCACCCCTTGTGCTACCCCCCCCCTCGTGCTACCCCCCCTTGTGCTACCCCTCCCCCTCGTGCTACCCCCCCCCCTTGTGCTACCCCCCCTTGTTCTACCCCTCCCCCCTTGTGCTACCCCCCCTCCCCCCGCCCCCTTGTGCTACCCCCCCCTTGTGCTACCCCTCCCCCCTCGTGCTACCCCCCCCCCCTTGTGCTACCCCTCCCCCCTCGTGCTACTCCCCCCCCCTTGTGCTACCCCCCCTTGTTCTACCCCTCCCCCCTCGTGCTACCCCCCCCCCCCCCCCCCTTGTGCTACCCCCCCCCCCCCCCCTCGTGCTACCTGAGGAAACTGCCCTCCCCCCTCGTGCTACCCCCCCCCCCCCTTGTGCTACCCCCCCCCCCCCCCCTCGTGCTACCCCCCCCCCCCCCCCCCCCCCCGTACTCTGGATTGTTACCTGAGGAAACTGCCCCAGCAAACGCTCCAACTGGGAATGAAGCACAGTATATCGAGGTAATGAGGTTCTGGGCTGACTGAGGCATCTTCCTGTACCGCACCTGCAATCAGAGTGGTTAGAAAAAGGGAAGTCTCTCGGGAAAACTGAAATCTATCAATGTGAATTGTGAAACGATCATTACAGCAAGATTTCACTGTACCAAAGTAGGGGTCAGGGGACAAAGTTCCGGAAATTATGATATCATGACGAAAGTAGTACTAGGGGTCGTTCACATATTATTACGTAATCAGCTGAGGGGGGGGGGGGTTTCCGAAAGATAACGCTAGTGTAATTTTTACACAACAGCTTTGTGTAAAACTGATTACGGAGGGGGGGGGGGGGGTAAAAGTGTTCCAAAAAATGATTACGTAATATTATGTGAACCCTACCACTGTGCAACTTTATTTTCATTTAGTATAATACTGTTGCAATGTGTTACTGGTGACTAGTAGTAATATAAATAGTAGTATTTGTGGTGTTTCGGAATTACCTTGTAAATGTCGTACATGATGATAAGGGAGGGGAAGCAAGCGAGACACATCTCCAACCCAATAAGTGCTAGAACAACTAGCAATTGTGTGATCGATGGCTGAACCAGTCCCTGTTGGTCACGGTTAATGTTATAACATTGTAACAATATGTTCACCTTGGGCGTGCTAAGAATTTTGTTTGGTATAATTTTTAAAACATCATGTCCATTTAATTGTCCATGACTCGAAAATAACGTTCTGCATCGAAATTGTAAATCGTTAAAATCTGCAACATACCAGAAAAAAGTGGGAAGGTCCAAGGAAGAGGTAGGTGACGGGCAGGGTGAAAGCAGATATAATGAAGAAGATATAAGGGCTGAACATGTCCATGAGTTGTCCCAGAAAGGGAGCCAGGATAATAATGCCAGCTGTGTTCACCAGCAGACAGATTCCCGCAAACACTGCTCCTTGCCCAAACTCAACCTGTCGTGTTTAATTTATTGGTACATGCACTTTCTATCTGTAATTATTAACAGTTCAGTGCAATCTAGCAATGAAGGTTCATTTGATTGTCACTATATTTAACTTACATCATGTAATAATATATACATATTATTATTATGTTGTGTAAGTTAAATATAGTGGCTAGAGAGGTTTTATATATATATGATATAAAACCTAGGCCTATTAACATTAGGATTAATATGCTGACCGTGGTATAAGCCGCCAATATAGGGATGTAAAAGTTAAGAAGAGTTTGAGAGAAAGCACAATGCCACGCTGGAAAGATAATCAGGGGGTCTGTGAATACTCCCTGAGAAACACCATCTGAAATAGTAACCATGGTAACATGTTGTAAAAATAGAAATACCATCTATATCTGAAATAGTAACCATAGTAACATGTTGTCAAAATAGAAATACCATCTGAAATAGTAACCATGGTAACATGTTGTCAAAATAGAAATACCATCTATATCTGAAATAGTAACCATAGTAACATGTTGTCAAAATAGAAATACCATCTGAAATAGTAACCATAGTAACATGTTGTCAAAATAGAAATACCATCTGAAATAGTAACCATGGTAACATGTTGTCAAAATAGAAATACCATCTGAAATAGTAACCATGGTAACATCTTGTCAAAATAGAAATACCATCTGAAATAGTAACCATGGTAACATCTTGTCAAAATAGAAATACCATCTGAAATAGTAACCATGGCAACATCTTGTCAAAATAGAAATACCATCTAAAGATTGTATCGTGATTATAATAACAATATTATTGTGTTTTAAATACTTTACGGTGACTGTTAGATAGATATAATTAATATTACATTACGTTTAAAGCCCAACTGTCGGACAACTATTTACCTGTATTTAGTTTATTTCTGATGAGTTAAAGTTTGTTACTAGCCGTAAAGATTTTAAGAGGCTTTCATCAGCCAAAATAAGAGACAATCTTTTCAATAGTGATGATCCAGCGCCTATAACTAAGAAGTTTTGGTCACATGTTAAGTATAAATCTAACTCCTGCCGTATTCCTAATTGTGTTAGTTATTCTGGACAGCTTCGGTTCAAACCCAAAGCTCAAGCTGAACTTTTCAATTCTTTCTTTTATAACCAGTTTTCGGATCCTTCACTTTATGACACTGACATCTCCTATGTCAATGATGTTGATTTTGATATTGACTTCGATCATCGGGATGTTCGTAAGCTTCTTTCAAATATTAATTCAAATAAAGCCCAGGGACCAGATGGCATACACGGTAAAATTCTCAAAAATTGTTCCGTAGGTTTAGCTTACCCTCTAACATGCATTTTTCGTGGATCTTACAACAGCGGCTACATTCCACAAGAATGGAAACTTGCAAATGTTGTCCCAATATTTAAGAAAGGTAAGAAAAGTGAGGTTGAAAACTATAGACCAATATCCCTTACTTGTTTAGTCATGAAAGTTTTTGAGCGCATTGTTAAACGTAAACTGCTTTCTTTGACAAGTACCCTTCTTGATTCCAGGCAGCATGGTTTTCTAGAGCACAAGTCATGCACAACCAATATGGTTGACTTTTGTGATAGCCTGGCATTGTCTCTTAACGAAAACATTATCAATCATGTTGTGTATTTTGATTTTGCTAAGGCATTTGATTCTGTAAATCATGATATCCTTCTTCATAAGCTAAAGACCTTATATAACATTGATGGTACACTTCTCAAATTTCTTACCAATTACCTTCAAGGCCGTTACCAAAGAGTGGTTATTGGTAATGAGATGTCATCTACCCTCTCAGTTAATTCTGGTGTCCCCCAGGGCTCTATTCTTGGTCCCTTACTTTTTGTATTGTTTATCAATGATATTCCTCTTGGCCTTTCGGTTAATACTGATATTGTTTTGTATGCCGATGATACAAAAATCTGGCGTAAAATACATTCATCTTCTGATAATACTAATTTACAAATGGATATAGACTATCTCTCTGACTGGGCACTAAGAAACAAAATGCGATTCCATCCAGCAAAATGTAAAGTGCTTATTGTTTCAGGAAAACCATCTTTATCTCCTCCATTCGCATATAATCTTGATGGCTCTCCTCTTGTGTATGTAGAGTTAGAAAAAGATCTTGGAGTCGATGTTACTCCTAAGCTAAGTTGGAATAGTCAGTGCGACAGAATTTATACTAAGGCCTGCCAACAACTTGGTATGGTCAGAAGAGATGGCCATATTGTCATTGATCAGAAACGTCGCCGGGCGCTTTACCTCTCCCTGGTTCGTAGCCAATTCGAAAATTGTTCCATAATCTGGCACCCTTGTAATAAAGCACTTAGTGATAAATTAGAAAGTCTCCAAAAGAGAGCTATTAAATGGATTCTGTCTGAAGAGGGCCGCAGTTATCCACCTGAGCAATATGTCAAAAAGTGCAAGCTTGTCGACATTCTCCCTTTGTCTCAAAAGTTTGACTTGAATGATCTTATTTTTTTCCACAAAGTTCTTAACAATTTAATTCCTGTATCGCTGCCTCACTATCTCTCTTTATTATATCAGGGCACTTCTCGACTAAGACGTTGCCACCTCGACAGTCTGTCTATTGTGTCATCAATTTTACCTAAGTTAAGTCAGAATTCACACACCACATGTACCTCAAATAGCCCACTGGCAAAATCGTTTTTCTACAGAACCCATATACTGTGGAATGGACTCCCTTTACAGGTAAGACAGATTGTGTCTACTAGTCTTTTCAAAGCTGAGGTCACTAAGCATCTCTGGAAATGTTTATTGGATAGTGAAACAACAGTCTAGCCTAGCCTCTTTGCTCCCCATATTATTATTATTTTTGTTTTATTAATTTTTTTATCTACCTTCCTATACCTTCAACATCATATAACACTTCACCCGCTTCTCACACATTAATGACCATATCAGACCTGTATCTAATGTATCTGGAATTTGACGTATTGAAATACCAATTTTGACTCTATATCCACAGTTATTCACCATGGATTTGTTTGTTATTAAATAGTTTTTCATAAATTTTTGGATTTAGATTAATTCGATGTAATGGGTCCAAGTTACTGCGGACATAGTTCACTATGTGTTTACCGTGTTTGGGTGCCCATCATATTTTACAGATGGGGGCGATATTTTGAACGATTCTATTTTATATTCATATATTGCTGTACTCTGTAAAATTTGAAAAGTATTTAATAAAAAAGTTGTCACTAGTTTACCTGTATTTAGTTGTCACTAGTTTACCTGTATTTAGTTGTCACTAGTTTACCTGTATTTAGTTGTCACTAGTTTACCTGTATTTAGTTGTCACTAGTTTACCTGTATCCGATGTTCTGCAGTCTATATCTTTAACGCAAACAATACTTGTTAGGAAGACCACGAATATGGCTGCTGCTGGAGCTACGAATGCTAGCAGAAAATTCACGTTCTGAAATATTTAATCGTTTCCAATTATTATATCCAATCTTGACGAATATTTCTCAGTTCAAACGAAATATGTGTCGACATAAGTATCACCTTACCATGGTTTCATTTGCATACAATTATAGCTTACCTCATAAAGCAGGGCCCCGATATAAGGACTAGTAGCTATAGCACAGTTGAGCGATGTTTCTACAACGGCTGTAGTAAGGGCTATATTGGACGGGAACATTTTGGCTGTGACTGTGAACGCCACTACATCGACCACTCCACCTGTTATTCCCTAAAATAATACAGAAATTTATTTAAAGATGAATAACTTTACATATTAAAGATGGGGGCCATACATCAAAAAGTTCCAGCCCAAATGATCTCGTAGGAAGTTGAGTGACCATCTGGCGCACCGTTTTAACAACCAACAAATTTATTTTGAGAACACCTATTTCTGTAACCGAGCATTTCCTGGTTTGAATCCATTTTTCGAAAAGCAGTATTTGTTTTATTGAGAGGCTGTAACATTTAAGCTGAAATTTTGCACGAAGGTTGTCCACATCTTGTTCTACATGTGTTCCGCTAGAAACCGCCAATTTGAGATATTTTCTTGTGTTTGAAGTCATATCTCAAGTTTGGCACATAGAAACTCGCCCAAAATCGCACAGAATGTCCGTGTAACAATCTGGAAAGTTTTAAGAAAATCTATCAGTCAGATCTTGAGAAAATCAAAAATATATTCTAAGTTATTCACTAAAACACTAAATTTTCGAACTTTTTATTTGGAACAGAATTGTCGAAAGTTCTTCTGGGGCAAAATACGCTCACTGCTTTGTGTTGTAAGGAGGGCTAGTTGAGCGCATTTTTGCCACACTTTTGCCACAAACTCAAGACGTCATAACTCGAAGATCTTTGCAGATATCATTCTGAAATTTTCACAGCAGTTTCTTCCCAAACAGTTATTTGTGACTACAAAATATGAGCTTGATGTGACCCGTAATACCATAGATACAATACCGAACACAAGGAAAAATTTCAAAACATGTTAGGTCGACTTTTTCAAAAACTGTCCGAACGATTTTCTTTAAATTTTGTCAGTACCCTTAGCACAATAATAAGCGACTCAATTTGTGGCAAATTCTGATTTTATGTTTTTATTTGTGCTTTTGAGGCCCTAAGTCTTTTTGCTGCAACATGGAACTTTTTGAGACTCTCAACATATTTGCTGAGGTAATTAGACTACTCCTTGAACTCCTAGTAGTCGGTATGAACGGTATGGTTTGAGTCGCGAGAAGTTAAAGTTGGTGTAAATCTGCGCCGAGGGAGTGTGGCAGATTTGCGCTCAACTATCTACGGTTGTAAGGCGCGGAGACATTTATAGATGGTAGTGAAGTTGTTTCAGCGCCCTAGCAGATTAAACAAATGCGCGCGCGTCAGAACCAAGCTAAAGAAAAACTTCAAATCCAGGACACAGTTATTAATTATAATTATAAATTATTATTATATACAGGGTGGGCCAAAAGTCAGTACCCACACGTTGGCCTTTATAGCTCAGTCACTGAGTGCCCAATTGAAATAATTCTTTCTGGTACAACTTAGTACCACCACCGATTCGAGGAATTTGTCAACTCGAAAAATATTCGTGTTCATTTTTTTTTCAAACGAAGATTTATTTGATAATTTGGATAGTCGGATCGAGCTAAATTTTATTGAATTGTATTTGGTCATTCGAATTACGTTTGTCCTGAAAAAAATTAGAGTTATAGTTGGAGGACTTCGACGCGCCTCGCGAACTAGCATTCTTGCTTCGCAGATCAACGATCTCGATGGGTTGACATCGTCAACCAAGAGTTATAGCTTCTCAGATGACCGAGATACGAAGCATAACGAGTTTATTCATTACATGTGATCAGGTGATTGGCTAACCTAATCACGTGATAAGGTGACCTTGACCATTGTTAATGATCTGTTGTAGGTTAACAACCTACTGCAGGACGCGCGCCGAGTTGGACTCGTCGACGGTCCTGGATATATGGAACAGATATTTTACGAGTAACACCCGTTAAATGATCTGGCCCGACGCGCGCTACTTCGTAGCTCGTGCCATCGGGCCATAACATTTCGAGAAAAAAGTTAACGGGTGATACTTGTAAAATATCTGTTCCATATATTGACCGTCGGGCGTCGACGAGTCCAACTCGGCGCGCGTCTTGGTAGGTTGTAAACCTACAAGAAGAAAGCGGCGCGCGCTACTTCAAAAAATTAGACGAGTAACATCCGTCAAAGGTGACCCCGTTAATTGATTCACGATGTCAATCCTTTGCAGCTCGGTGAGGCACAGTGGTGCATCTCGCCGATCTACCGAAGTGGTTGCGAGAAGCATTATTGGATGCGCGCTCGCGACCCAGTAGTGCATCGCGCTACAACCCCGTTAACTACCCCGTTAAACATTATGGAAATCGTTAAGGCTGCCCAATTAAAGTGTTGTGTCACGGTGCGCGGTGTCACATAATCACCCAATTAATTTTAACGGGTGATACTCGTAAAATATTTGGTCCAAATATTCCAGGACCGTTGACGAGTCCAACTCACCGCGCGTCCTGGTAGGTTATAAACCTACAAAATCAATTTTGCTAACCAGATACACAAATCGCTTGATAACTCCGTCATTTCTAATCCGTTTCATATCATTGTTCAAATCAAATGCAAATCCCAGGCTGACGGTCGGCCTCCACTTTCTAAAAATTACCTTTAGTGAAGGCCGATGGTCAACAAATAGCGATGTTAGAGCTTGATACGTGTGAACAAGTGCTGACCTCCTTTCACACTATTGGAGACGCGACTCTGATCGCAAATGCGAAAGGAAAGATTCCGGGGAGGGCACCATTGGATTTTGTTGGTTGCATATTAAAAAAAAAGAAAAAAAGAGCAAATAAAACTGCAGTCATAGTTGTAAGTATAACATTGTAAAGAATAGTGCAAACCTGGCAGACCCTGAGGATCAAAGAAAGAGTGATGTAAAGTGTTTTGTGCTTGACATAACCCAGAGTCGAGTAAGCAAAAGTAACTAAAGAAATTAGACCTGAAATAAAGAAGAGTTATCAAAAGTAACTAAAGTAACTACGCCTGAAATAAAGAAGAGTTATCAAAAGTAACTAAAGAAATTAGACCTGAAATAGTACGGTATATTTATAAGTCAGTTAGTTTGTTTAGCCATTAGCATTAATCATAATGGCTTTGTATCAGAACGTAAAAGTTTAGTTCGTAAACTTGAAAGTCAAAGTTAGATATTGCTGCCTTGAGCAAACGTTTTCAAATCTTTTTTGGCAAGTATTTTAATATTTGTGGAAAATTTTGAGTCAATTTAAATATGTACCATGGCACATGTGTTATGACATGAAATTCTTTATGTTAGCATAGTACGATTTACAATTTTATTTTAATTTATTTCTCGGTTCGTTATTACTTAATATATTCATTTAATAAGCCTGATGGTTATCAGAGAGCATTAATATAATATACTATCAAACTAGAATATGTAGCGTGTGATTAGTGAAAATAACACGAGTGCAGTTGTAATTGTATTACATATTAGAGATAGTATTAGTGTATTAGTATATTGGGCTCTATTCTTGACACCATTAAATGTCATTAGACAGTATTAAAATCAATAATTTATCTGTTGACATAAATTGTCATAAATATGAGTTTAATGACTGGCAGGCTATGTCGGACAGTTTGCTAATATTCTGCCAGGACCACCTGTTAATGTGACCATTTAAGGTCACTTATAACATGTTGATTTATTAGTTCAATATAAACACTTATAGTTTGTCTACGACTACAGTCGAACGGTTCAGTATTCGAGATGTACGAATTTATTTGGGAACTCTCTACTTTGACATTAGTAATTGTCCATTCTACGCACAGAATGAACATTATTTTAATTTTGAAGCAGCAATTTTTCTTTAGTAACCCTGTTAGTACAGGGTGGGCCAAAAGTCAGTACCCATACGTTGGCCTTAATAGCTCCGCCGTGTTTTATATTTGAGAGCTGTTGCTTTGCAGATGGCATACTGTACTTACTGGTTCGAGGATTCCGTCGTCAAAATTTGAAAATTCGAATATTTTAGACCACGCCCATTCAATATTAAAACACCTATATTGTTTTCTCTGAACATGCTGAACGCCTAATTTTTTCAGAGACGGTAGATTATTAAATGTTGCATATGATCCGAAAATATGAGGCAAAACGGATTAGAAATGACGAAGTTATCAAGCATTTTCTGTATCTCGTTATCAATTTTGACTGGGTGATTATGTGACACCGTGACACGACACCTTAATTGGGCACCCTTAACAATTCCCATAATGTTTAACGGGGTAGTTAACGGGGGCACCTTATCACGTGATTAGGTAAACCAATCACCTGATCACACGTAATGAATAAACTCGTTATGCTTCATATCTCGGTCATATGAGAAGCTACAGTTCTAATTCTTTCAGGACAAACGTAATTCGAATGGCCAAACACAATTCAATAATATTTAGCTTGATCCGACTATCCAAACTATCAAATAAATGTGAAAATGAACCTCCATTTGAAAAAAATGAACGCGAATATTTTTCGAGTTGACAAATTCCTCGAACCAGTGGTGGTACTAAGTCATACCAGAAAGAAGTATTTAAATTGGGCACTCAGTGACTGAGCTATAAAGGCCAACGTATGGGTACTGACTTTTGGCCCACCCTGTATTATTTGTCACACTGCACTAACTTAAACTCAATTAAGCGTATCTTATAAGTTATAAATCAGTCATAATCTACGGAGTATAGTAGGGGGTTTAATTATCATTTCGCCCGTAGCCTAACATCCTCAGCTCTCAAGTTTGCTTTCAGTATTCAAAAATAGAAGCAATTGGGGGTGCACGATATTTGGTGCACGATATTTGGTGCACGATATTTGGTGCACGATATTTGGTGCACGATATTTGGTGCACGATAATTGGTGCACGATATTTGGTGCACGATATTTGGTGCACGATAATTGGTGCACGATAATTGGTGCACGATATTTGGTGCACGATATTTGGTGCACGATAATTGGTGCACGATATTTGGTGCACGATTGGCGAGTAATTAATTTAACTAATTCATCTTTGACCACGATTATAAATAATTTGCCAAAAAACTTTTCAAAATTAGAGATTTGGTTATGACATATGAAAAAATGACTGTCCACGGCTTCAATGCCCGCCTTTTCATCTTGAAACGATCACATGCAAGTACTTAGAGTACAAACAAAATCTGTCGGTACAAATAAAATTGGTGACTTGTTGGTCTTAAATACGGGATGATATGACTTTTACTTAGTGTAACTGTAAAGGCAAATTGAAATAAATCCATCATTATTACTTAGCTTATTTTAGTTTGATTTTTGACATTCTTGATCTTCATGGGAGATCGTCAGATCGCCGTATTTTATAACAACGCACCGAATTTTAATTTCGCTTTGGGATAAAAACACAAGTTCTTGTTATAATAAGTTCAACTAACCTGTACTGAGAAGTAGAAGATTTTTACTTGAATATCTGTCCAGACATTTGGCCACCAGAGGACAGATGAAAATGTAGCAAAACGGCACTGCCCCCAATATTATACCTGGGATGATAATAATAATACTAATATCAGATGATTTGTTTATTGACATTGTTTCATAGTTTGCAGTTTGTTTAAATGTTGTTACTTTCTCAAGCGTCTAACAGTAACAGTGTCACTGTCAGTAGCACTGTTACTACTACTAGGTAATAGGATTTCCACGCCGTAAATTTGAACTCAACATGCAACCTGACTTATGCCAGCGTGGCGAGTGTGCTTACTTGGGGGGGGGGGGGGGGGGGGGCCCTTACTTGTTACTTTGCAATTGGCGTTTGGAGAGTGAGCTAGTTTCTTTTTCGAAAACTTAACTGAGGTACTAGTAAAACTGCGCGTTTTGCTCTAGAAACACACTTTTTAGAGATTTTACTGGATGATGATTAATCACTCTACACTCGATTGTCACGTGACTTTTTCAACCCGTTCTCTAGCTGGTCCTGAATGACTATTCGAAACCTTAATCCTTTAATCTGATCCCAACCCTAACCCTAACCCAATCCTTAAGTGCTTAACAAAAGCATATGCTGAAACCCTAACGATAAATTAGATTAACTTCCTTATATGGTCATATCACGTGATCGAGACAGTTTTTCGCCAATATCTCGTCAGGGGAGCATGTCATGGGGGGTGATTCGGAATCAGCGTCCGTAAATACATCGATTGAAGTTGGTTTCAATTGTCGGGGGCCCTTTTAGAACAATCTCGAAGATCGACTGTAGAGTGATCTAGCAATTTAATTTGTCCAATATTAGGGAAGGGCGCCAATAGGAGGGGCGATTTTTCAGCGGAGGGGGGGGGGGGGGGGGCAATAGGCAACATTACGCCATTGACAAGAATACAAGGATTCAAAGATGATAATTAAATTTTGGTAATCCTGAGATACACATCATGAGCAAGTTTATTCAAAAAGGATCAACAACAATGTTTAAATTGAGATAAGTAAGAATCCTAATTTTAATAAGTCTTGCCTCTACTCTCTACAGACAACAGAGCTGACTATCTTATTGTTCCTAATACGATGAAACTTGTCAGGCTCTGTAGTCCGTTTCAGTCTCAGTTCTTCTACAAGCTTTTTGTAAGCTTTGCGATCCGCGACAGTTCTATTAGGGCAGATGTAAACTGAGCTGTTCCCCTCTTTTGAGCGTAGTGTACTGGTGATTCTGATCACCTGAGTTGCAGGGACGTAGCCAGGATTTTTCTTTGAGGGGGGCTGTCGGCGAGCGAAGCGAGCCGACGCGTCCAATGAAGCTGCGCAGCGAGCGAAGCGAGCAAGCTGTGGCAGGGGTCTGGGGGCGCAGCCCCCAGCGGGGTCCAGGGGCGGAGCCCCTTAGCGGGGTCCAGGGGCGGAGCCCCTTGGCGGGGGCTAGGGGGGCGCAGCCCCACGGAAATTTTTTGCGAAACAGGGTGTTTTAGACGACATTTGGCATTAAAGAAATTTGTAGGACAGCAATAAACTGGGATTGAAAAGAATCAAGTACTCACGTAAATTTGGTAACTTCACAACAGCAATCTGCATTCTCCAATCAAAATTTACAACTTACTCAGGCCTCATCGTCTTAAGATTTTTACATTTCCTACGGTCTAGGGGACACTATTGACTATAATTATAGATGTCTTCTAGAATGTTTGCTTGGATTTAATGGCATATATTTACTAATCCACAGATCAAATCTTTGACTGACTGCAGTCATAAACACAGCCCAGTTACCAGGCGACCATGGGGACTAGGGGGCTTATCTTTTTTCTGGGGTTCGATTTTTTCCGGGGGGCTGCCGCCCCCCTAGCCCCCCCCCCTGGCTACGTGCCTGCTGAGTTGCATGGTCAGAGCTGCTCAATGGGAACTTGACCGGTCTGGACACATTTTCTTGCGGAGCTTCAATACGAAAGCAGTCCCTGACTAACTTTCTTAACTGCAGCGTGGATCTTCTTCGGGGCGCAAGCAGCATTGATACTCTTGCTAACGACTGAAGGGTAGCTTTTCATCTCCATTTGTACGGTATTCTGCCATGATTTCGTCCCCTTTTCTATTATTTTACTCTGAGTCTGAAGGTTGATGATAGTACTCTGATTTGAAATCTTCTCATTTTGCAGCTTTTCAACTAATTCAACAGTGTCACCTCGCTAAGTCAGGGGATACTGAACTGATCCAATATACAACAGACAGTTTCCAACCATTCGCATAATTTCCCTTTCGTTACTGATCTCTTGTTCATCAAATTGCAAGATTGAATCTCCTCGTAATTTGTCCTGTTGATTTCAAATCCCGGAGAGAACACTATCCCTGGCATCTGCTACAACCTATTAAAGATTTGACTTCTAACCTCGTGCAAATTCTGGCCACATGATGTATACTTATAGCAAGCACACAAAGACACAGGCTAGCTTATCGTTAGTTACAAAAAGATAAGAGAGTTCGATAATTGCAACGTAAGCTGACTACAGTAAACCTCAGACGTTTCCAGTATCTTTATAAATCGGTACTCTGGGAGTGGCCGTAAAATTTTAGAAATATATTCGTAACATTCATTCCATTTCCTTTAAATTGAAATACGAAAATGGAGTGACATGGCGTAATTCTGCGCAAAAAGATCCAGGCGAGGAAATTAAACATGATTAAGGACGAAGTTGGTATAAATTGTTCATATCACAATTCACAGTTCCTTATAGTTATTGAGTGCGCCCACAAACAGTGACTTGTGACTGTCATTTAATTTTAGTGATTTTCCAAGTTTTGTACTTAAAAACGCGTTATATGTCTAAAATGACGCACGTATTTACCTGTTGTACTGATGGGGATGTTTCTTTCTAGATTGTATAGAGGTAGGAAGGAGCCTGGGAGACTGAAGAGTCCGTACGACACAAACAGCGACAGGTTCATCATAACAAATGTAGAAATCCTGCAATTTGTGTGCATTATACTCGAGTAGTCCCACTCTATAACGCAATTTAGCGTTAAATAACCACGTTGTTTAGACTTAATTAGACCCAAGTAATCGATTATGAGATGGAGTCTTTGTATTTTGTTTTATCCATCAGTAGAATTTAATTGGCTTGAAAATGGAATAAATCTATGGTAGATAGAGTTCGTATGAAAACTCTGCACATTAACCTGCATAATTTATATTGAGAGACAATTATATAATTTACATACTTTATTTTTTGATTTTTTCACACTTCATATTTCATAATTTTATTAATATTACTATAGGTAAGGCGTGCACGATAAAAATAAACTTGCTCGGATTTTAAAAATTTTTGTGCCACTGTTTTCTAGAGACTGTGAGAATTTTGACAATACAAAATTTGTCATACCTTTTTGGAAAGATCAGTGAGTTTCGCCTAGGTGCCATATTTGATGGTGCGCGGCTTTTGGAGCAAAAGTCGCTGTAAAATTCGCGTAATTTGACCAAATTCGTCCAAATTTGACCATTTTTGTCGTATTATTCGGATATATCTTCAGTTCCTTAAATGAGATCATTCTGGAAATTGGCGTCGACCTTTTAATAGGGCCAGGGCTTTCACAACTGTCCGAAAAATTTGGTGGATATCGCAGTTGATATACTTATAGTCATTAAAATGGGGCAAAATACGCTGCTTTTAGCTGTAACATAATGTCTGATGGTTGGATATGCTTTAAATTTTTCGAACACTTTCTCACTTTCCTTGTAAGTCTATGAGTAAGCTTACCAATTTTTGTTGCAATTGGAGGCCAGGAAGGATACTCAATATTTTTAATTGACGATGTCAATTCATGGCAGCTCGGCGCGGCACAGTAGCGCATCTCGCCGATCTAGCCAGGAAGCCTTATTAAGTGCGCGGCGCGGCACAGTAACGCATCGCGCTACAATCAATATTTATTTGTTTGAAGAAAATTGTGCTGGCCGAAATTAGCGCTAAAAAACCATACTCAATACTACAGTCGGCATGCGCGGCTCACTGTCGATGGCGCACTACCTACTATAGGTGGATGTGATGTTACTGAGATTTACTCGTGTTTTGAAAGTTTTCCTCTGTACTTTTTTCATTGGCCCACGCTTTTTAGCATTTGCTGTACATTTTTATGATTGCTATTTTGTAAATTTTCAACAAATCATAATAGACTAGAAAACAGGAAGGAAGCTAATCACAGTGCTGGCAAGCACGAACGCACTTATTCATTATACTATTATACCCCTTTAATGTTTTTCCAGGCATGAAGACTCATTGAAAGTCGTTCAGCAGGCACATTTTAAGTTCAAAACATTACAATTTAATGTCAAATATGACAGGAATAAGGAATAGTTATGTGGAGGTTTTTAAAAAACCCCAAAATCGCCATATTCAGGTGCCTTAAATACCATGTTAAAATTGAGTTAGAGATCTGAAACTTCGCAGGTCGTCTATACATTGACCAAATCGACTACACAAAAAGTTTCAAGTTTTAGGAGTATCAGGAAGTGGGTTTTCTGGAACCCCTGTTTTACAACAGATTGTCGTGAAGTACCTTAAACGATAATCTCAGAATGTGTGTGCGTGTCTGTTTGTCTGTCTATGCGCGTGTAATTTCCGAGCGGCTTAATCAAGAAAACGGTAAGAGTTATGGAACTGGTTTTTCCGGTATAACGCCGAGAAAACTCTGACAAAGCCAAATGATAAAGGTTTTTTAAATCGGTCGGTGGTAAGTGGTTTAATTGATGGTTTTGTACCACAAATGTGACAGAAAATGGATCACTTTTTCTCCCTCCTCGCTCTCTCTCCCAGTACTGCATAGGCAGCGTTGGTACATAAATCTTGATTAGATTAGCCTCGATATTCACTGTCATGTAATACTATAAGCTTATTAGGAGAGGGAGCACTCATTGCGGTCTGTTTGGACTGTAGAGAGAGTTCATACTTTCATACGACAATGTTATGCGTGTTTTCAAATATAATATTAATAGGCAAGTTTCTACTCTTGAATTTCAACTGCGATAGTGAAGTCCCATCTCCCAGTCGTAGGCACGGATTACACTAGTGTATTATATGTACACTTATACACAATGTGTGTATTACACACGCGTAAGTAAACTAACTTCCATCTGAGGGGTAATATTCCAGAGTTCCCTGCAGACGAGGAAGAGGACGATAAGGACTCTGTGTCTTCAGCTCTGCCATTGTCTATCCGATCATATCCTGACATGATCCTCGTAATCCTTTCTGCAATTTATTGAATCAAACGTCGGTTAAACTTACAGCAAAACTCAACTACAACCTCCCAGTACACTATCAGTACACTATCAGTACACTATCAGTACACTATCAGTACACTATCAGTACACTATCAGTACACTATCAGTACACTATCAGTACACTATCAGTACACTATCAGTACACTATCAGTACACTATCAGTACACTATCAGTACACTATCAGTACACTATCAGTACACTATCAGTACACCATCAGTACACTATCAGTACACTATCAGTACACCATCAGTACACTATCAGTACACTTTCAGTACACTATCAGTACACTATCAGTACACCATCAGTACACTATCAGTACACTATCAGTACACCATCAGTACACCATCAGTACACTATCAGTACACCATCAGTACACTATCAGTACACTATCAGTACACCATCAGTACACTATCAGTACACTATCAGTACACTATCAGTACACTATCAGTACACCATCAGTACACTATCAGTACACCATCAGTACACTATCAGTACACTATCAGTACACTATCAGTACACTATCAGTACACCATCAGTACACTATCAGTACACTATCAGTACACTATCAGTACACCATCAGTACACTATCAGTACACTATCAGTACACCATCAGTACACCATCAGTACACTATCAGTACACCATCAGTACACTATCAGTACACTATCAGTACACCATCAGTACACTATCAGTACACTATCAGTACACTATCAGTACACTATCAGTACACCATCAGTACACTATCAGTACACTATCAGTACACTATCAGTACACTATCAGTACACCATCAGTACACTATCAGTACACCATCAGTACACCATCAGTACACCATCAGTACACCATCAGTACACTATCAGTACACCATCAGTACACTATCAGTACACTATCAGTACACCATCAGTACACTATCAGTACACCATCAGTACACTATCAGTACACTATCAGTACACCATCAGTACACTATCAGTACACTATCAGTACACCATCAGTACACTATCAGTACACTATCAGTACACTATCAGTACACCATCAGTACACTATCAGTACACTATCAGTACACTATCAGTACACCATCAGTACACCATCAGTACACTATCAGTACACCATCAGTACACTATCAGTACACTATCAGTACACCATCAGTACACTATCAGTACACTATCAGTACACTATCAGTACACTATCAGTACACTATCAGTACACTATCAGTACACTATCAGTACACTATCAGTACACTATCAGTACACCATCAGTACACCATCAGTACACCATCAGTACACTATCAGTACACTATCAGTACACCATCAGTACACTATCAGTACACTATCAGTACACTATCAGTACACTATCAGTACACTATCAGTACACTATCAGTACACTATCAGTACACTATCAGTACACTATCAGTACACTATCAGTACACTATCAGTACACTATCAGTACACTATCAGTACACTATCAGTACACTATCAGTACACTATCAGTACACCATCAGTACACTATCAGTACACTATCAGTACACTATCAGTACACTATCAGTACACCATCAGTACACTATCAGTACACTATCAGTACACCATCAGTACACTATCAGTACACTTTCAGTACACTATCAGTACACTATCAGTACACCATCAGTACACTATCAGTACACTATCAGTACACCATCAGTACACCATCAGTACACTATCAGTACACCATCAGTACACTATCAGTACACTATCAGTACACCATCAGTACACTATCAGTACACTATCAGTACACTATCAGTACACTATCAGTACACTATCAGTACACTATCAGTACACTATCAGTACACTATCAGTACACTATCAGTACACCATCAGTACACCATCAGTACACCATCAGTACACTATCAGTACACTATCAGTACACCATCAGTACACTATCAGTACACCATCAGTACACTATCAGTACACTTTCAGTACACTATCAGTACACTATCAGTACACCATCAGTACACTATCAGTACACTATCAGTACACCATCAGTACACCATCAGTACACTATCAGTACACCATCAGTACACTATCAGTACACTATCAGTACACCATCAGTACACTATCAGTACACTATCAGTACACTATCAGTACACTATCAGTACACTATCAGTACACTATCAGTACACTATCAGTACACTATCAGTACACTATCAGTACACTATCAGTACACTATCAGTACACTATCAGTACACTATCAGTACACTATCAGTACACTATCAGTACACTATCAGTACACTATCAGTACATTATCAGTACACTATCAGTACACTATCAGTACACTATCAGTACACTATCAGTACACTATCAGTACACTATCAGTACACTATCAGTACACTATCAGTACACTATCAGTACACTAACAGTACACTATCAGTACACTATCAGTACACTAACAGTACACTATCAGTACACTATCAGTACACTATCAGTACACTATCAGTACACTATCAGTACACTATCAGTACACTATCAGTACACTATCAGTACACTTTCAGTACACTATCAGTACACCATCAGTACACCATCAGTACACCATCAGTACACTATCAGTACACTATCAGTACACCATCAGTACACTATCAGTACACCATCAGTACACTATCAGTACACTTTCAGTACACTATCAGTACACTATCAGTACACTATCAGTACACTATCAGTACACTATCAGTACACTATCAGTACACTATCAGTACACTATCAGTACACTATCAGTACACTATCAGTACACTATCAGTACACTATCAGTACACTTTCAGTACACTATCAGTACACTATCAGTACACTATCAGTACACTATCAGTACACTATCAGTACACTATCAGTACACTATCAGTACACTATCAGTACACTATCAGTACACTATCAGTACACTATCAGTACACTATCAGTACACTATCAGTACACTATCAGTACACTATCAGTACACTATCAGTACACTATCAGTACACTATCAGTACACTATGCCGAGTAAAACATGCCTAGAAAAGTTCGATTGATCGTATCAAAACCAAATTTCTCGACAAACTAAATACGAATGATGATTAATCACTCTACACTCGACTGTAGTGCAAAAATAATTATGTATCTTTGTTATCCATTATTTTGCTACATGTGGCATCTTCTATAAACCAAAACCAAAATCAAAAAAGGTATCTTCATTCTTGATGCAAGCAAACTACAGTGGAATTATTATTTAGAACAGTAGGTATTCTTCTACTTGAACATTTACAAACTTTAATTCAATTTAAATTTATCACAGATCATAGTAACATCAAGATACCTCACTAGCTTGCATCAAGATATAACTTATAGTATGGTAGGTAAACTGTGCTACACTACAGTCTGTTACCATGATCTGCGATAAATTTTAATTTAATTTAAATTTGTCACTGTTCAAGTAAAAGATAATGTGAACTGAAAAAAATGTAAGATTGAGGAGGCATTACTCGGCACTAAGGGAAGAGTCGAAATATTTGATTGTCTTGATCTTTACATGAAATTCTTTGCTAAACTTTATGCCAATGCCCATAGCACCATAACTGTAGAGAACAGGAAAGAAATGCTTGAAAATGCCGAGGTTAACAACAATTATAACTGCCAACCATCCCCTGCACAATTCTCAATGGCCAGATCTCTGTGGATGAAATATCTACTGCGCTCTCTTCACTCAAAAACGGCATAAGTTCCTCGGAGGATATGATATGCAATGAAAACCCCAACATCTCTTTTGCAAAGTATTTAACCGCTGCTTGGACTCTGGAACTTATCTGTGGAATAATAGCATTATTACACCCCTACACAAAAAGGTGACAAAGAAAATCCCGATAATTACAGAGCAGTCGCTGTGAGTGGTATAGAAACCGACCGGCTGAATCCGGATCCGGATTAAATATCCGGTTCCAGCTCCGGCTCCGGTTTTAAAAATTTCGCCGGATTTCTTCCGGATATTTCTTTTTAAAAATGTATTTCTAAAATTTTGAAATGCATATTTTTCGTCACATTTTAACTCGAATCCCTAAAAGATCTAAAAACTGTTGACTAGATGCAGACTAGTCAACCAAAATATTTTCGGCTAATAATGAACAGGGTAGCATGAAACGTGGAGAGAAGTGGTTTTCAGAAAAACTTCGAAGAAATTTTGAAGCACAAGTTCTGAGCAACTATCATCAGCATTGATCGACATTAATTAGTATGTACGAATAGCAGCACGCACAAATAATGAAGAAAAAATAATGACAAAAATTATGATGTCTGAAAAATAGCGTACACTGAGACAATCTGACTGTGAAGAACACATAATAATTGCACACTGGAACCAGGATTAAGGGGCCCTGCCATCCTGGAAGGAAGTTATATGAGCCGGTAGTGACTACATCTACTTTAGTGATTTGTCAAATGTTTTACCCAGGCCACTCTACTGCAATGGCCATTCACAAGCCTCCAGAGTAAAACCGGTTTTTCTGAATATTTTATAATAATATTCTCTCTGAAAGAAAACTACCAGTGTTTACACTACCAGCCAAGCGCACTATTATACGAGACATAATATTATGGTGAAAATGTCTCGTTATTCTGAATTCTGATTATGATTCGTTAAGAGGGGGGGGGGGGGGGGGGGGGGGGGGGGGGGGGGGGGGGCAATGTTAAGAGTTCCCGATGTAACCACGTCTGGGCGGAACTGATAGCAAAAGTTTGGCATAAAATAAAGGACTCACTAAGATATCCCACCATTCATTAGCGCTAAGCTGCCCCCCCCCCCCCCCCCCCCCCCTACGTGCCTGCACACAACAGGATGTGTAATCCCTAACATCACGCCCCTACTAAACATCATGTTTTTAGAAACTTTTAGTAACTTTTAGAAAGGCTAGTCCTCTGGTATCTTGAACAGGATGTCAAGATTCCGGTTAAACTAACGTCAACGAAGAGTCAACACGGTTTCGGGAAATCCACA